TTAATGTCCAACTTTCACTGCCATAGGATGTCACCTTGCCTGACTAATTCTGAGCTTGGGAGGTAGACCATATCTTACCATTTTATTCAGAGAGGATATCAATGCTTGAAATAAAAAAAATGTTCTAAACAATTGGCTGATTTCCACGAACCCCATGGCATTTCCCCAGCGTACCAAGCTAGTCACTCTGTGAAGGAAGGAGAGGCATCTGTCATGGCTTGTTTGTGGCAGACTCACACTGGCTCTTTTATTAGCTGTTGTTTTCTCTGGTGCCATTGTTTTCTAAAGGCTCACAAGCAAGCCGTTTAATAAGCTACTCAAGGATCTTGCTCAGAATATACTTTAAGCTGAAAAATGTGCAATTTCCTGGATTCTCCTGCTTCCCTTTCTTAGCTGCAGCCCCAACCTTCTCTCTCCTCCAGCCTGTCTTTTCCAGGAGGCCTTCAAGATTAGAGAGAGAGGTTCTCTGGGCACCTTTGCTGGTTCTTCCAATGACCTGGGATGTAGTTTTTCTGGTCATGGAGGCCTGAATTTATTTAAATGAGCTGTGTCGTTTATATCCCGCCTTGTTTATCTCAAACCACAATTCCCTCCTTCCATTAATGGCAGAGTGAGTCAGCAACGGTTGGGCTGATCTTCTAGGAAAGAGCAGACAGAAAAGGTGTTTTGAAATGCTCCACTTTTTCCATCCTCACCTCTTAACCACTCATCCATTTTCACTTTTAGGTTCTTTCTGTCTGTCTGGCCAAGCAAGCATTTCCTTCCCCTCTATTATAAAGTTTGGGATAAGTGGCAGCCTTGGAGGGGATGTCCCAGTTGGAGGTGTCGCCCATATTCCGGTGTCATCCTATGCCTGAGTGAATCCAGAGCCTCCTTTGCCAGCATCTGTTTGTTTCCCATCGTGCCTTGGAGGAGAAACACCTGAGGTGATGCCTGGTGGCCCTTCCTGCCTTTGATGTTGTTCTGTATTTGCATTCTTGTAACCCTGCGTTCTGATTGGCTAGGACGCACAGCATTCGGATTGGCTGAGTGTACGGCACTGATTGGCCGTTACGGATCGACCGCGATTGGCCTAGCCGATTGCGAGAGATTTGAACGGCTGTCATTGGCCGCGGCGCCGGGTACAAGTTCTATATAAGCCGCCGCCGATCCGATGCAAGCAAGCCGATCTACCAACTAATAAAAAGAGCTTGAAAGTCACTGGTCTTGCGTCTCTCCTTGGGACCGATCCACCAACCTACAAGATGTACTCCCCTTCCCTCCAAACCCTCTTCCCCTCCCCCCCTTGTCCCTCCACTCTTTTGCTCCCCCATTTGTCCTCTGTTGGCTCCAGTCCTTGACGGCATATTTGCTCTTGGAGAACATTAGTCCAACTCCTGCCTGGGGTAAGAATCCATTAAATGCCATTTCAGTCAATACGACGACGGCCTCCCTGACAGATGGCCACCCCAGCTTTGTTTAAACACCTCCACAAAGGAAGAGTTCCGTGTCGCCTCAGGCTGCCGGTTCCATCACTGAACAGCTCTTAACGTTGGGAAATGTTTCCTGATATCAAGCAGAAAGCGACTTCATGGTTACTCAAGCCCATTGTGTCCTGCCCCGTTCTTATGGGGAGGGGGCAGCAAGCAGAAAGCGTTATCCTTCTTTGCTCATCAGAGAAATATGGAAGCAGTACAGTCACAGAATAATAAAACCACAGGGTTGAAAGTGTCTATGGAGGTCATCTAGTCCAACGCCCATCCCAGACAGAGGCCTCTCCAACCTTCTCTTGACAACTTTAAGGAACGAAGCACCGGTAACTCAGTGATCTACTGCTCCACAGCTCTCACACCAGGACGTTTTCTCCTTATTTCCTTCCTCTATGAAGCTCCTTTGGGAACTCTGGAAATAACTTCACAGCCTCTTCCTTGAGATAAACTTTCAAGGAAAGAACTAGGCTACATTCTTCTTTTGAGAAATGATGAAAGGACTGTCCAGACCCCAAAAGTCCACCAGCAGAACTGTAGATTTGGACGATGGAGATCGGCCAAGGGCTTTGGTTGCATATGCTGAGAGTGAGACACCAAGAGGAGGGTTAGCTGGATGAGTCAGAGCAGCTGAAGGGCATTTGGGACTTAGACCGAAGGTGTTTTTGGTGTGTTTGTGGGTGTGCTTGTTTGCTGGGTGGGGGGAGGGGATGCTGAGTACCTGAGGTTTGCTGAGCCTCTCCCTGAGAGGATGTTATTGGTTATTATGGGAAGCCCTTTAGCTTACATTTTAATTAAATCTAGGTAACTGTAACCTATGCCCATGCTTACTTCTCTTAAATTTCTGGGACAGTGAAAACTAATTCCTGGCCATCTTCCCTGGAGCACCATTTTATCTAACTATGTCGGCTTTTTTCCACTCTGAACATCCCTGGATTCTCCAGTCTGTCCTCCTGTGGCACATCCTCAAATCCTTGTATCAACTTTGTAATCTCTTTCTGGATATCTGCCCATATCTTTCTGGAAATGTACTGCCCAGAATTGTACACAGTACTCCATCTGTTATATCCTGAATATGTATTGAGAAGGAAAAATTGAATTAAAATTAAAGATACTGTAAACAAGCCTCACAATGGATAATGAGATACTGAAATAGGGGATAGCCCCTGTCTTTTAGGATTGACCATTATCATCAAAGCAACCAGCAGCCAAACAAGGTGCCACACACGAGCTCAGGTAGAGTAGTAATGAAGGCGTATGATGTGAGATGAAGACTCCTTGAAGTCTACAACCCCGAGAACAGACGAAGAAGAGGACGATCAGCAGGGAGGCAGATGGACTGTAGCAGCAACATATTCACCTTCGGAAGGTCTAGGTTGGAGAAAGGTTATCTTGAAGAAGTCTGTTTATGTGATCCTTAAAAGATGATGCTGGGTTGATGGCAAATACTGATAGTCCTTGCTTTGTGACCACAACTGGGACGGGCAACTCAGACATTAAACAAAGCAGTTGCTAAGTGAAATTGTGGTTGTGTTTATAATCAATCACTCCAGCTGTGTCTTACCAGCACAGACTAGGGGGAAATCCTCCCCTTTGAAGCAGCTTCCTCTGATCCAAGCCAGAGTCACCTGAGACTTCCTAGTAGGTAGCTGGCTTGGCTACATCCTCCTCAGATGCAGGGTTTCCAGGCCACAAATCCCCCACTTTGTCTGTGTCCTACCTTCTCCTCCCCTGCACTTCTCCCCCTGGCTCCTCTCAGTCCAATCTCCCAGTCTGTCCAAATCAAATTGCCATTTCATTCTGTCACCCTGGGTGTTGGGCAGATCTCTCCATTTCGTCTCACCTGCAGATTGGATCAGCAGTCCATCCATCTTTGTGTACAGGTCATTAATAAAAGTGTGGAATAACACTGACGCCAAGATAGATTGCGGTGGAATCTCACTTGGACACAGACACAAATGCTGTGCAGCTCATCTCTTGCTGGGGCCTCTTCGCAGAAACGCTTCCCGTTACTGAAGAAGCCAGCCTGTTCCCACCAGGAGCATTTGCACAGCCTGCCCTCCTTTCCAATATCTTCTTTCTTCCTGGGCCATATCTCTTCTTTGCCAAAGCAAATTATTTCAACCATTATACTGGACAGAGTGAAGAAAATTCCACCTCTGTTCCCTCTCTTTCAACCAGCGTAATAACCGGTTCGGTGAGCGTGTGGGAAAACAGCTGAGGCGCGGCGACCTGCTGTACTGCACGAATCAGCTGGGCTGCAAAACACAGAAATAAAGGAGAGACTAGAGCAGGGGTGGGTGGGTGGGGCCAACTAATCACCCAAACTAACTGGTCCAAACTGGCTGAATCCCACCCCTGCTTTCACCGCCCCGCCCCCCCCCGGCCAGTGTTTCATAATATCTTTATAGCAGGGGTGTCAAACTCAAGGCCCAGGGACCAGATCCGGCCCATGGAGTGCTTAGATCTGGCTTGCAGGGCCGGCCTGGAAACAGAAAAGGACCGGCCTGTGGGGGCCTCTTCAGTGAAAATGGAGCTTTGGGGGGGGTGGTTGCTCCCTCAGCTCCATTTTCACTGGCAGAAGGCTATCAAAACAAACTAAAAACAAAACCAAAGGAGAAACGTTTCCCCTTTTGCAGTGGAGCATCCAAGAAGGGACAGGAAAGAATAAAGGGAAAGAGGAAAGGCAAAGAAAAAGAAGGGAAGAGGGGAAGAGAGCAAGGAAGGAGAAGGAAGAGGGAAGGAAAAAGAAGGGAGGGAAGGGAGGTTATAATGAGAGTGAGGGAAGGTCTCAGGGAAGCCCTGCCTTAGTACTTGGTGCCCCCCCCGACACGAGTCCCGTGTCACGCCCATCATGGCCACGCCCACCCCTGGCCCTCTGAGGTCAAACAGAACCCGGATGCGACCCTCAATGAAACTGAGTTTTACACCCCTGCTTTAATCCTTCTTGTTTATTCCCGCAACTGAGAAGAGCATCAACAGATCAGAAGTAAACGGAACAATAAAATAAAGAAGAAGAACACAATGGGAAGACCTCAATAGGATAGCCCAAAAGATGGACATGTAGAGAGCAGGGAGCAAGAGGGGGAGGGGGAGTCTTCCATCAATCCAGCAGCCCTCTCCCCTTTGGACCCCAAGCCAACCAGCGGAGCCAGGTCTTTTAGGCTAATTGGGCTCCTGCAGAAGGAGGGCTGGACGTTCCCAGAGGGAAGGCTCTTCTTTTGGATCCCACCGCCCAGTCGGAGTTCTTTGACTGACAGGATCTGAAGTAGGCCCTCTCAGCCAATCGGGGTAGGACGGGCTTGACCTAGTCGTGGGATGAGACGGTTCATCAGGTAGCCTGGCCCTGTGCCGTGAAGGGCTTTAAAGGTCATGGCCAATCGGCTGTTTTCATTCTGCTCCCCTTCCCCTCCACCCTGAATGGTATCAAAGGAGACCCTCCACCAGACAGCTGCCTGCTCTCTTTTACCCAGTTACACCGCGAAGGAAACGCTTCCCTACAGCATCGGGGCTCCTGTCAACTTTATGGCCAGTTCCTAAGAGGGCTTTCTAAGGTTTCCATTCGATGACCTCTATGGCAATCTCGGCAGCTCTCTGCACAGTCAAACTGGAGTCGCGCAGATGCTTCCGGAACTCCGGCACGTGCCTCAGCAGCACCAGGCGGCCTTCTGGGGCTTCGGACAACATGGTCAGGGCCTTGATGGCGTAGAGGCGGACTTTGCTCTTCTCGTCATGGATCAGAGGCAGAAGATAGTCAATGGCTTCTGCATTAATGGCGGCATATTTCCCTGAAACGGAGAGAAAACATAGGAGGGAACGCACAGGCTAGCCCAGGGGTCTCCAACCTTAGCAACTTTAAGACTTGTGGACTTCAACTCCCAAAATTCCTCAGCCAGCTAGACCAGCAGGGACTGGTAAATTAAGAGATCAGATGGAAGCAGCTGCAGCCAGAAGGTCTGAATGGGCTTCCTGGCCCCCTAGGCGCAACCCAGGGTTTTATTTAGTGAAAAGTACTAGAAAATTAGCAAAGGGGAAACCGAGGAAATCCTAGTCCTGCTTCTCTAAACATGACTGAGCCCTTCCCTCTCCTTGGGGTAATAAGCACAGCCCAGAGACTTCTGGTGGAGGCACAGCGAACTAAGCACGTCTCAGATAAAGGGAGAGACAATGAGTGGAAGAAAGACCAAGGAATTGGCAAATAGATCTGTTCTTTGGAACTCCCCTGGATAAGGAGGGGAGAGGAGATGGCCCACGTGGGCTCTGGCCGTTGCTCCTCATGAGGTGAGTGCAGGACGGTGGTCTCCCATTGGTCCGAGAGCCAGGAGATGAAGCCAACATGCCAAGAGAGGGCGGGGCTTGAGCGGCAGTGGAAAGAGAAAAGAGGTTTTGAAAGGGCAAAGAAGAAATCAAATTCTATGGCATTAGTTGATGAGGCTGATTGTTAGAAGTAAAAGGAAGGAATATAAAGTTGGTTTATTTGATCAAGATTAAAATAGATATGATGTCATTTCTGGTAACACCAGGACTGAAACGATGATGCTTTATAGATTTGGGTAAAGAGATGGGATATGGGAAGAAGAAATCATTTGTTGTAATTTAAAAGGTGAAAAGTTACTAAAATTGTTTATACTTGTGAGGAAGGTGGGAGCAACTTTTGTAAACTTTTTTCTTTTTCATATTTTTTTTTCTTTTTTTCTTTCCTCCACTTTTCCTTTTTCTTTGGTTTATATTAATTTTTATCTTTTCAATTATAATTTTAATTATACATTTGTTTTTAATTGTGATGAATTAGAAATCACTCCTCTATGTTTTTATCTTTCTTTGCACTTTATTTTTATTTCTTTTTCCTGAGTTTAGGTTATACTTATTTTCACTACTCTAAATAAAATCTCTAATAAAAATGGTGAGAAGGAAACACCTTAAGTGCAGCCCAGGTGCTCCCCCAGCTGTGTCCCCAGGAGACCCCCCCCCTCCTGCCCCCCTTCTCTCTCATGGAGAAAACGCTCACCTTGCGTGGTCACTGCCGAATTCATGAGGGCCCCCGCAGCATTGGCTCGCACTTCTGAATCCTCATCTTCCAGGAGGTTGACCAGGTCTGGAAAGACGTCTTCTTTGAAGACCATGTTCTTCCCCTCCAATGGGACGCTGAAGTGGGAAAACCATCCCTTTGGGTCAGCTGAGGCTGGCCTACTTGCCTTGCCCTTTTGACCAGCCAGCTAAGCCGAGAGGGAAGCCGCTCTTGGCAGACATGGAGCTACCCTGCAGCTCCTTCGCCATGTGCCGGTGTGCCTCACCTGATGGCCATGAGGGCCTCGGCAGCCTTGCACCTGATGGCCTGTGAGGGATGCCGGAGCTTCTCCTTTAAGACAGAAACGGATCCTCTTGCCAAGGCCTCAAAGGCTTCGACTCGCAGGCAGCCTGTTAGGGTGTCCAGGATGAGTTCTTGGATGTTCTCCTTCTCTGTCTTCAGCTTCTGCACCAGCGGTGAAACCAAACCACTCTCCACTATCCCAATGGCCACTGCAAGAACAAAGAACAACTTACCCTTCCCTTTACTAGTACGATTTGATTGGTGATTGTACCCTATGACTATCATTAAGTGTTGTATGTTATGATTCTCGACTCCTGACGAATGTACCTTTTCTTTTATGTATACTGCGAGTATTTACACCAAGACAAATTCCTTGTGTGTCCAATCACACTTGGCCAATAAACTCTTCTTCTTCTCTCTTGTCCTTACAGATTCTCTTCCTACTCTGCTGTCCTTACCATGGAGGGGAAGGCGAATGGCATTCACCACTTGTGACAAGAGCCCAGGGAAGGACATCCTATAAAATATGCTGCTTTGTGTGATTTTTATTTTATCCTAAGGAAATACTTGCACTATTGGTCACAACCACGACCTCTTCCTGCCCTCAAGCTCCCCTCTGGGATGTCTCCAAGGAGAGGTGACCTCCTTGCCCCAAGCTGCAATTCCGAAGGTTTTTGCAGCAGGTCATGTTAGTTTTCATTGTTATGAAAGAGGCCGGTAAATTTAGACTTTGAGGATGGAGCTGGATGTTACAGAAACAAATCCTGTGCAGAGCTTCTGAACCTCAGTGAGTCATCTTGATGGATGAGCTGCGCAAAAATCATGCAGGGCAGCATTTGAAGCCACTCTGGAAGCACCCTGGGAAGCTCCTGCTCAGCCTCTTCATCTTGTCCCAGGGAGTTCCTCTGGGGAGTATTTTGTCCTTTCTACTTTGAAATACTTACATGAAGCCCCTACAAAAAGCCCTTCAGAGTTGGGGATTTCTGCCTCATTCTTACAAAAACGCCCCCCAGGACGAAGTCCCTTGCTAAGTGAATACCAAGGAGGTTGCCTCAGTGCCTGGACTCATGGAGGCCATCCACCTTCCTCCTTGGTCCTAGCCAATAGGCCAGGGGTGGCTAAGGAATTCTGGGAGGTGAAGTCCACAAGTTGCAAAGGTTGGAGAGTCCTGTAATAGCCCAAGAAGGGATGGGAGAGATCACAGATGATCTCGTGGACAAACAAGCCGGGACTCAATCCAGTCAAGGTCTCTTGACCAGGAGACAAGTTAGTACAGGAGGTTCTCAACTTACAACCATTCATTGGGCAATCATTCCCTGTTACAATGGCACTGAAAAAAGCGACTTAAGACCTGTCCTCGTAGTTACAACCATCTCAGCATTTCCACAGTCACGTGATGAAGATTCAGCCCTTTGGCCACCACCAGCAAGTTGACCATCCTCCCAAGGCCACATGATCGTCAGCTGCAAATTCCCCAAACAGCTTCCCACAAGCAAAATCAATGGGTGAAGCCCAATTCACTTAGGAACAGTAGGATTCACTTAACAACCATTGCATAAAAGGTTGTAAAATCAGTCACAACCTCCTTACTTAGCAATGGAAATTCTGGTCCCAACTGTGGTCATTGGTTGAGGATTCCCTCCCTGTATGTTCTTGTAGGTTGACTCCTAAGTTGAAGATTCCCGGCACCGCGTTTTGGGAAGGTCATTGACAAAGTGGTCCTTCAGTGTCTGGAAGGGAAGCAAGTTGACAAGAAAATACGGATGGGGTCAGGAATGGTTGGAAAGGCTGGGCATATGTCTAACTTGCAGAAGACTGTAGGGAAACGTGATCGTGGTCCAAGAAAAGGCTGTACAGTAATGTAGACAAAGAGGCAGAATTGTTCTGTGTTGTTCATGGGGATTAAATTACAAGGAAGACTTCAGTTGGATTTCAGGAAGAATGGTCACCTGTTCAAGAATGGAACAGACTGCCAAAGGGGATGATGGTGTCTCCTTCATTGGTCAGTTCTTTCCATGAACTAAAATGCCCTAAAATGCCCTCAGAATAACATAACAGAGTTGGAAGGGATCTTGGAGGTCTTCTAGCCCAACCCCCTTCTCCTTATTTGTAGATTGGTTCTCTCCTTCATTGGTTTCCATCCATTGCTTGTTGTTCTGCCTTCAGGTGCTTTAGGTGGACCCCTTGTTCGTGGCTCAAATATAGCCAGGTCCTGAGGACATCTAGGGAGTTAGTTTCCTTGTGATCTCACAGTCAGGCCTACTTCCTGTCAGCTATTTGAAGTTTTGGGTTTCTAATGTGGCGTGACTAACTTCCAAATAGGAAAATTAAAACTCAGGACTCAATGTCCTGAATAGTCCAAACCTTCCAGGCTATTCTTATGGTCCTGTATTTACCAAGCAGGAAGCTAAAGCATCGAGGAATTCGCTGACATTGTTAAGGATGAATCCTAATGAGGTGGAGGGAAAGCCTGAATTCATCAGGTGCCACAAAGAGGGCAGACACCACTTCAGAAGGCTGGAGGAAAAACCTGAGGGCTCAGTTAGTCCGATAAGAAAAAATTGGGGAAACTTTCAAAAAGGTGTTTCTTTCCGTTATAAACTTTAGGAAGCCAGTTTGGCTTTGAACATATTTGCTTGTTTGGGCTGCAAGTCTTAATCAGATATACAGCTTGTGATTTAATTTTCAAGAAATTTCTGCATTCAATCAGTGCAAGGATGTCAAAACTTTCCCTACAACCACGTATAATAAATGGTTCCCTGAGACATTTTCCAGCTCTTAACATTAAATTGGTTGAAGTTTGATGATGAACGACTATGGTGGTGGTAGATCAAATGACAATGAAGTAGTTGATAAAAGTGACCCTTTCAAAGACTAGACTGAATGCAGGAGGATTCCTGTTTATGCTTTTGGATTTTCTCCTGCTCTTCCGTAGATCTCAAAGATCCTAGAAAGATGGAAACAGCACCAGGAAAATCTAAGAAAATTCCAGCTGGCTGGCAATGTTTTGAAGACTTCCCCACTAAATGCGAGCAGATTAATTATGGTGATTCCACACTACCTATCTCTTTTGGATGTAGTCCAGGCCTCCAACCTTTTGTGAAAAGGAGCAAAAATTAATCTGCAGGTTTTAATTCCAGAAACAAACAGCTGAATTGAAGTCTGGCTTCTTCAACAAAAAACCATAGAGGTCGGGGGAACTGTTCTTTTTTCAGAGCAATGAGAAGCCACAGATCACTATTAAAAGTGGGGAAATGAGATGGAGCAGTATTATGTTGCAATTCCTGCCAGAGTGGCTTAGAGTTTAAAAAACAATAATAATCTGAAATAAAATGTTCAGGGTGCGATACTTAAATTAAAAATAAAATAACAAAGACAACGACAAAACTAAAGCAGATTTCATTTTGAGAAGCAATAAAGCGAAACAACAGGCATGTTGACAGGAGATCCCGCACCGGAGCAATGTCTGGGTGGACAGACTGAAGCCCTGTGGCCAGGAAGACTGTTCCCCCTGCTGATCTTCTGATGGGAGATGACCCAAAGCTGTTCCAGGCTTTGCAGGCCGAGGACGGCAGCTGAAATGGGGCCAGAGGCAGAACCTGGGCAAACAGTGGGGCATTTTCAGGATTCAAGTCATGTGGCTGCTTTGAGCTGCCCCGCTCAACAATCGGGTAGCTGTTTTGAAAGCTCACCCTGCACCGAGGAAGACAATGGAGGGATTCTTAGGCCATGAGTCAGGGGAGGCAGCGCTCCTGGTCCCAGGAGGGTCTGGGCTGGCAGAAATTGGGCAGAAATTCGTGCCAGGGAGGCCACCGGCATTGCTAAAGACCAGTGGGTTCGGGGAAGAGGCCCTGGCTACACACCCCCTCTTCCTGGAGGAGGATCTTCTGCTCTTCCTGGTCCTGGAGAACATCTGTCTGCAGTATTTTGGGGGGCTCCCACCCAGTCTGTCCCAGCGTCCTGGCAGAGGTGAGTGGTTTGCCTTTTTCTTCTCCAAGCAAAATGCTCCCTGAACTCTACATTCCGATGCGGCACAAATCCACATTAAATGTGCCTATCGGCTGAACACGTCTGGCCATGATTTGCATGGAGAGCAGGGGGGAGGCTCTGAGACGGGGGCCCTGGGCTTACCAAAGAAATGGGGCTGCCCTTCAATCTCTGCTCCGGGGCCAACGACAACAGCAGCAACAGCAGAGGAGATGAGGTTGGGGGCCAGCTGGAGTTTTCCCAGGGATCAGAAGAAAAGAAATATGCAGACTGACACAATTAGAGTCAACGGATCCAGGATAAGATGCAAATGGTCAGATAATATACAGTACATGGGACACTGAGTCAGTCAAGATGCTCAGAACGCTTTCTAATATGAATTCAAGATGCAAGAGCAATATTTTTAAGATAACAGCGTATCTGGTTTCAAGAACAAGGGCAGAATAAGGGCATTTAACTTTTGGTATCTGATTTAAAGCGAATCCCTGTAAATTATATTCCAGAGGATCGATGGTCACTATTCATTGTAGGTCATCAGCTGCAAGAATTAGATTTAAGTGCAGCCAGGTGGACAATGGTTACCTTGTCTGTGGGTTGATGGAGAAAGAGAGATTTTGCTTGTGTACACAATTGGAGCTTATACATTGGCCTGGGAAGGAAAAACGGATTCCAAAAGCAACACTTCCATTGCCTGCGGATGAATTCCATCTGTGGCAGTGGTTCTCAACCTGTGGTCGTTCGCCCTTTGGGGGGCGAACGACCCTTTCACAGGGGTCGCCTAAGACCATAGGAAAACACATATTTTCCACATATTTTCGATGGTCTTAGGAACCGAGCCATAATTTTATGGTTGGGGATCACCACAACATGAGGAACTGTATTAAAGGGTCGCGGCATTAGGAAGGTTGAGAGCCACTGATCTGTGGGATGACGGGAGTAAATCAGAGTTAATAAGTAGAGCCTTGATACTAGTTGAAACCACATTTGACAATCAGCTCCTTTGGTCTTGTAGAAGTGTTAGGTATGTTCACTGCCTTGACTTACTTATAAAGTAATAAAAGCGGGATTTTTAAAAAATCTAATTAATTAATTAAAAGGGGGTCAGCCTAATAAGGTAGACCAGACTAAGAAAACAGTGCCACATAGGCCAGGATTACTCTTATTGTAGAAAATTTCAGTTGTTTATGGGGGTGATGGGAGGCATGAATAGATTAGACTAGAT